AGAGAGAGAGAGAGAGAGAGAGAGAGAGAGAGAGAGAGAGAGCTAGTGTAATAATTAAGGAAAAATCTTAATGTCGACAGTTACGAGAGTAGTGTGAGCCACACTCTATGTGTGAATACAAAATAAGGACTAAATTTGAATATTCCTTGGATGATATAAGTAAGACGTACTTGTTTAGATGTTATATACTTATCATTATGGTTTCTTTATTAAGAACGCTCAACATGACAACCCATATATTCCTAACCTTTGGCATGGGATTGCTTGTTCTGAGATTTTGGGTTCCATATGGTCCATAGAGTCGCATCAATGCCATATTATGATCAACTATGATAAGCTTAAGCCTAAACCGAATTGTCTCCTTGAAACTTAATATAGTGTTCATATATCTTATAAATTAATTTAAAATGACAAAATAATACATAATATAAAAATTTGAGCTAGATTATTATTTTCTTAATAAAAAAATAATATTCATCTTGAATGTCATTTATCCTCCATTAAAATATTTAAATCATCATTAGGCACTTTTTAAATCTTATAGATTCAGATATTTATTTAAAATGTTATAGCTAGTAAAAATTGAACTCCTATATATGTATATATAAATTATAATACTCATATTCTAAGAATTTTACTTCCCTGTTTATAATTTATTTCAATCAATGAAGGGAGTTGGGCCTTGTCATGCTTATTGCTGGTCCAAAACTGGCCCAACCGCCAGTTGGAATCTCGATTTGGGCTGAAATCTCATCGCTGGTTTTAATTTAGGCTTCTTTTTTGGGAGATTTTTTAATTACTTTTTAAAACAGAATTCTAGTATAAAAATTAATATTTTTTTACTAAAATTTCATTTTAAGAAGCAAGAAAAAACCGTCCCAAATGAAGCCTTAATTAGCCTAATATTGATGGCTTAATCTTACAAACAATAAAATTATGATATCTATCATTAATACAATTTTTTTATACAAAAATATATTTTTTTGTGAAGAACATTCAATAGTAGTAATTGGAAGTAAAAGCTTGTTCAAAGACATTCAAATCTCATGATGAGATGAGTAAAGAAAATACTTGAGGTCCTCATTTAAGTTTCGTTTGGGACGGCTTTTTTAACGGAGTCTTAGGCTTTATCGGGAATAGCTTTCGGTCATTGTTTTTTAATATTTAAAAAAAAAAATTGTACTAAAAAATTATTTTAAAAAACAGTAAGAAAGTTATCCCAAACAAAATCTTAAAATTTTATCCATAAAAAATATTTAGATTCACATTCCTCTTTTGTTAATACAAAATCCTTTGCACCACATTCCTTTAGTTAAAGCATAATAAAAATAACTTTATTGCGAAGATAATACTTGAGCTTACAGAAGAAGGGATTAAAGAAAAAACTAAAGAGGAACACTAAAAAGACTGAAAAAAAAAAACACTTAAGCACACTCAAGACTTTGTTTGGAACATCTTCCCTACTGTTTTTCTTTTCAGACAGTAGTCATAGTTTCTATTTGATCATTACTTTTTCACCGCTTTTAAAATGTTTGTGCCAGGAAGTTGCTTTCTACAACAGTTTTAAAAAAGTTACTTTTTCCGCAATAACTTTATAACCGTCTTTATAAAAAATTGCAGCCGTCTCAAATCGATCCTTAATATGCTCTCAATATTTATGCAAGACTTTTCTATAGAGAGATGTTAACAAACGAACTCTAAACATTTTACAAACTAAGAGGATCAAGTTTTTTATATAGCCACTTTTGCCATCCATGTTTGGGGATAAACATCCTTCAGAGGATTTCTTTGTATCCACTTAAATATTATTGTGCTGCCTATCAACTTATAAGAAACAAAAGCCTTATTGATTTATTGAATTCCTTTTACTTTTGCTTATTCACTGGTCACTGAGGAAGGCCATTATGCTAGGCTTTCATTCTTCTGGATTATGACTCATTGCATTGTCCATCATGAATGATATGAGAGATCACAACAGCTTAAGAAGTTGTTTATGACTTAGGTTTTATTTGGGACATCTTCTTTGCTGTTTTCTAAAATGATTTTCTATTATAAAAATTTCTAGTTCAAAAAATTTTTGTACTAAAAAATAGTAAAAAACTGTCCCAAATGAAGCCTGGGAAGCCTTAGGCTTCATTTGGGATGTCTTTCTTACTGTTTCTTAAAACAACTTTTTAATACATAATTTTTTGAACTAAAAATTTTTGTATTAAAAAGCTCCTTTAAAAAACGGTAAAGAAACTATCCAAATGAAGCCTTAGATTGATCTTTAAGTCAACTTATTTGATTCAGCTCACTCAGGTTATTAGAAAACTATTTTTGGATTCTTTAGTTTTAATGGTCGTTGATCACAGATGTTGAGGGAAGAACTATTAAGGAGGTCTACGTGAAGATAGATGGAAGATGTTAAGTGATGATGGATGTTAGATGAGTGAAAGTGGGCGATATCATTATTCTCTTAAAGGAGGGGTGGCTGATGCGACTAAGGCTTCGTTCGGGACGGCTTTCTTCTTGCTTCTTCAAGCGGCTTTTTAGTAAAAAAAATTAATTTTTATACTAAAAACCTGTTTTAAGAAGCAGTAAGAAAGCCGTCCCAAATGAAATCTAAGAGTCATTAGATCTTTTAGGGTGATTAACACAATTGATCACCTGCATTAATGAGGAGAGATCGAATGAGTACTAG